AAAGCCAGGAAGCGGGATGAGCGTAATCCAATTAAACGTGCTCTGCCTACCCAGCGATTCGGCCGCCAGACTTCCTGGCCTGCTGTTGTCACCCCCTCCCTGCGTTCACGGAGAAGCCATGTTCACAAGCTGCAGCGAACGCACGTACAATGTGTTAACAGCGCACCCTTGATTCTGCTGGGTACATCCATTGAGTGATTCTCGTGTTGCGTTTCAATGCTCCCTGTAAGCTGTGGAGCCTTGTGAGCAAGAATTCTACTTTGTGAGCTGCTGGCATTAAAGTTGTGAGTGAGCGATTTGGCTGCTGTGTGAATTAGTTTGCTCTGGAGCCCTCCTTCCTGAGCTGAGACAAAGGTCTGTGACCTGGAGGCTAAAAAACTGTGAGTTAGCTCACAATAACTCAGCTTAGAGGGGACACTGGTTGCATTCAACGCAGGGGAAGCTGAAATCTGTGACAGAAACGCCAACAATCACCCAGGGATTGGACCCCAGTTAAGAAGATAACATAAGAACATAAGAGATGCCAATGTTGGATCAGTCCAAAGGCCCGTCCAGTCCAACACTCTGTGCCACAGAGGGGCCAAAGATACCAGGTGCCATCAGGAGGTCCACCAGTGAACATTAGAACATAAGAGACGCCAATGTTGGATCAGGCCAAAGGCCCATCCAGTCCAACACTCTGTGTCACACAGTGGCCAGAAATACCAGGTGCCATCAGGAGGTCCAGCAGTGGGGCCAGGACACCAGAAGCCCTCCCACTCTTGCCCCCCCCCCAAGCACCAAGAATACAGAGCATCCCTTGCCCCATACTGAGCGTTCCTATAAGAACATAAGAGACGCCAATGTTGGATCAGGCCAAAGGCCCACCCAGTCCAACACTGAGTCACACAGTGGCCAGAAATACCAGGTGCCATCAGGAGGTCCACCAGTGGGGCCAGAACATTAGAAGCCCCCTCCCACTGTTGACCTGTGTTGGCTGTTTCTTGCAATCAGGTGTACTGGTGTCCGAGCAGGATGCCTGTGTGTTTACTGTACCGTGTGAACAGGGCTTAATTCTGTGGCACGCCCAGGACAGTTCTTTGGTGGTGTCTTGCTGTGTTGACTTTGTTGTGGGTTAGGGTTTTCTTCTTCTCTCCTGCCTGGCCTCCACATGCCGGGCTTGAACTCTGCTGGCTTTTGATCTATGGGGTGGGGCGGGGGTGTGAGTGGGACAACTCAGCACTGGGGGCGGGGAGTGCCGCTGACCTTTGCCCCTTTGCTCCATGCAAGTGTACCAGAATAATTAGGTAATATTTTTTCTTGATCATGCCAGACACTTGGTGAGAGAAACCCTGGGAGGTGGGGCTGTGGTATTATCAAAGAGGGGGAGGCGGATACTGAGAGAAGTCTCATGCCTAATCGTGCCCCCCCCCCCAGCAGTTCATGGCCGGACTGAAAGATGAGCCAGGGTGTCATTCTATGCTTTTGCAAAGGAGGGTGTGCTCACTCAACACCATGCAAATGTAAACCGCGGGAAGTGTGCCCTTTAACCCCTCGCTTCCTCCTCGGCCCGCCTGAGCCTGCAGGGTGCTGTGGGAGGTAACTGATTCCCTGTGAAGGGATCTTGTGCCAGCCACGGAGAGTGGGAGGGAGGGGGGGGGGGGGGCACTGCCTGCGGTCTCTGTCCTGGGCAGCCGTCATAGCCAATGGCGCATTTTATTCCGGGTTGGAAAAGCAGCGCGCACACGTGTTTACGGTGGTGTTGCTTTCACTGGGAGCTTCCACCGGCACGCAAAAGAAGCCAGCACCTGGCGTTCATTACTCCAGGGGTGCTACCCGCTCCCCATAGGTGCGGCAGCAGGTTCAAATGGCGTGCAGCGTCCTGCACAGGCTGCACTGCAGAGGTGGGGAAGGTTCCCAGCTGATGCACCCCAGCCTTATCCAAGAACCTGGTTCCTCCTCTGCGCCTCCCGCGTAATTTCTCTTGGATCCCACCTAAGTAGAAGAAGAGATTGGGTTTATTCCCCGCCCTTCACTTGGAGTCTCAGAGTGTTAGAGTTTTTAAAGAAATTCAGCAGAGTTAAAAAACAGCTTAGTGATGCCAGAGTTCAATAATCAGACCCAGAGTCCATGTGTGTTTAAAAATATAAAAGTTTACTACAATTCTACCATAGGGAAGGGTAACTTGGGAGAAAATAACAGAGAGCTAATTCAGCTACATCCTCTCTAGACTAGAAGAACTGGAAGAAGATGGCCCTCCAACGTGCTTCTCCTCCAAGGCGAACAAAGACGGGAAGAGGGCTCATAAAATGCAAAGTTACTAACACTTCGCTCCCAATCAAACTCTTAGAACAGGGATGCTTTCGCGGGCTAACAGACTTGAGCTAACACTGGCTAACACAAAGACAGGTGATTTCCTGTAACAACAGAACAGACATTTAACCCCATGCACACACTGAGTGTTTTCAACATGTAAATACCCAACACAGAGCGGCTTACAAACTCCTTTCCCTTCCCCTCCCCACAACAGACACCCTGTGAGGTGGGTGGGGCTGAGAGAGCTCTGACAGAAACTGCTCTTTTTCAAGGACAGCTCTTATCAGAACTACGGCTTGCCCAAGGTCATCCAGCCAGGTGCAAGTGGAGGAGGAGTGGGGAATCAAACCTGGTTCTCCCAGATTAGAGTCCGTGCACTTAACCGCTGCACCAGACTACTGGAGCACAGCGGCTCCAATCCACGTATAGCAGATTGGAGCGTGGTGAGCTCACAGAGGCCCTTAAAACTGCGTTAATTATTTCTCTGTTCTGGAGGACAGAAACACCCCCCCCACACACACACACACATATATACTGGTCAGGCCTACCTTGTCTGTTCCCCTGGCAAGGGACGCTTGCTTCCCAGTCTGCTACAAGATGCAAGGGGACTGGCTTTCTGGCCCGTTGGCCATAGACGGAGCGAAATCCTTTACTTTATACCTGTCACATGCTTTGTGGCAAGGTGGTTCACATTACCGCCGGCTAAAATCAAGTTCTTGGGGTCAGGCTGGATGTCGACTCGGGTTGGCTGGCGAACAGAGCATTATGCGGAGGGGGAATCCCTGATCCGTGGAATTATCTGCAAAGGGAGAGGATCGGCAGAGTCGTTCTCCATGGGTCAGGTTGGGCATAGAAATGTCTACCTCTTCTGCATGCAAGTGTGTGTGGGTGTGTGGGGGGGAAATACGGGCTAGAAGCTGAGTTAGTGCGTGCTAGCTCCCAGTTTTTTTAGTCTCCGGCTCACACATTTTTGTCTTCACTCCAGAAGGAAGGCTCCAGACCAAACTAATTGATGCAGCAGCCAAATCGCTCGCTCACAACTTTAATGCCAGTCGCTCACAGAGTAGAATTTGTGCTCACAAGACTCCACAGCTTAGAGGGAGCATTGGCTAGGAGTATCCCTCCCTACAGAGCCGTGGCATTGCACAGAATCTGTGCAAGCGCGTTGCCCTCTCAGGACTGAGTGTGCTTCTTCTCCCCCCACTGAGTACAGAACAAGGCTTTGTTTAGTGCAGAACTGACAAGGCCCCTGGGCTAGTCCCCCCCCCCCGGCCGACATGAATGTCTTGAACGGAATCCAGAGAAGGCTGAATAGAACAGTTTGATTGTTTTTAGCATCCGCGGGTTTGAAGAACAGAAACTGTAGCTCCTCTTTTAAGTGCGCTCCCCCCCTCTCTTTAATTCTTGCCTTGCGTTGGAAGCGTCTCCCCTCCACCTGGAGGGGGGGCTCTTGTTACCCCGAAGGTGTCTCTTTCAGCGGAAGATCGTAGACTGCCTGAGGTGAGGAGGTTCCATTAGAGCTGAGGTCTTGCGCAAATGAAAAATTGGGGTGTGCTCTGAAATACTGACGCTCCAAAGTTTTTAATTTCGGAAAGCACTTCAATCCCTAAGTAGTCTTGGTACGGCTTAAAGCAGGGGGTGGCCAAACTGTGGCTCGGGAGCCACATGGGGGCTCTTTCACACATATCGTGCGCCTCCCGCTGCGGTGGCTGGGGAAGCAAAGGGGAGGCATGCCTCCCCAATTGGTCTTCCCTTCCCCAACCAGTGCAGAGACAGAAAGCAGCTTGAACTTTAAATGCATTCTCAAAGCCTCCCCCCCCCCACCAGCCGGCTTGGAGAAGGCATCTGTCTCTTTAAATCCCTTCTCCAAGCCAAGCTAGCTGCCGGTGGGGGCGGGCCTTGGAGGACACATTTAACATTGAAGTTGCTTTCTTTCCACCTCTCCCTCCCTCCCCCATCTATTTGCTTTCTTTCCACCTTTCTTTCTCTCTCTCTTTCTTCCCTCCCCATCTAAAGTTATCAATTTAATATTAGTAAGAGCAAATTTGCATATTTTTTCAATAAAAACGTGTGTGTAATATTTGTTTATGTGTTGCAGCTCTCAAACATCTGATGTTTATTCTATGTGGCTCTTACATTAAGCAAGTTTGGCCACCCCTGGCTTAAAGCTACACGGCTAGTTGACAGCTCACAGGGGTAAAACACAAGTTTGGTGTCGTGGTTAAGTGCGCGGACTCTAATCTGGGAGAACCGGGTTTGATTCCCCCACTCCTCCACTTGCACCTGGCTGGATGACCTTGGGCAAGCCGTAGTTCTGATAAGAGCTGTTCTTGAAAAAAGAGCAGTTTCTGTCAAGAGCTCTCTCAGCCCCACCTACCTCACAGGGTGCCCATTGTGGGGAGGGGAAAGGAAAGGAGTTTGTAGGCCGCTCTGAGACACCTTTGGGTAGTGAAGGGTGGAGTATGAATCTAAACTCTTCTTCTCTAATAATTTTGCATGATGATTTGTAGTGGCCAGGTTAATGAGCGGAGGAGACCTGCGGGTTTGTAAATCTGTTGGGGTTGTTATTGGGCTTTGCACCACCACCCCCGACTCCTTTTTGGCTCCAGCGTGCCCTTCTCCTCCCGATGCGGCTGGGGCCTCGTGGGGTGCCGCGTGATGCACCGGGTTTCTCTGCCGCTCCTGACCCCCCGGCTTTCTTGCAGCAGCAGCAGCTCCAGGCTCAGCACCTCTCCCACGCGGCCCACGGCCCCCCGGTGCAACTGCCTCCTCACCCGTCGGGGCTGCAGCCGCCGGGGATTCCTCCGGTCACGGGGAGCAGCTCGGGCCTGCTGGCGCTGGGGGCCCTGGGCGGCCAGGCGCACCTGACCGTGAAGGACGAGAAGAACCACCATGACCTGGACCCCCGAGGTGAGCAAGCGGCGCAGGCCTTGGGTGCCCGGTTTCCGGCCTGGCACCCGGGATCCCTTGGGGGAGAAAGCCCCTCCTCCCAGGCCCTGGCAGGGGAGGTGTTAATAGCAGGGTTGTTTCCCCCAAAGAGCTCGTCTTGGTCTCTTCTGGGGGGGTGGGGTGGGGATTCCAGCTCTTGTGCGGCTCCAGGCCCAGAATCCCCGTCCAGGAATGCGACCCCGGAGAGTCCTCGCAAAACCTCAATGGAGAAATGAGGGGAAGCTGCTCTTTCCTTTCTTGGTCAGGACGGGAACAGAGGAAAGCAGTTTTGCGTCCTGCCCTCTTTGTGTCTCAAGCACAAAAGAGGCAGCTTGTTTGGCCATGTAATTGTCGCCCCCCCCCCCCCCCCGCCCCGCAGGCCGCTTTCTCTCGCTCTCTGGGCCAAGATTCCTTCTCGAGAACAAAGAATGAAAAGGGGCACCAGTGTTTTTGTCGAGCCGAGCCAGGGACCGCGGCCTGCGGAGGACCGGCTCCGATTGTTCTATTTTTACGAAGCTTTTTTTCCCTTTCTCTCCCCCCCTCCCCTTTCCTTTCGGTGTTCCCTTGACCGTGGTCTTTGTTCCGGAAAGATCGTGACTCCAGCGCAGTAAGTCCTGTTTTTGTTCCCTCTGACTCCGGCTGTGTTTGTTTGTGATGTTTAATTGTGTTTTTTTTTGGTCTCTGTTTGAAGCCGGCTTCCTGGTTCTCACTCTCCTGCGTTAGGCACTTAAGGGGGGGGGGGAGAGAATACGGCTTGTGGGTCTTGGATCCCCTTTGTGTTTTGCTTGGATTCAGCCCGGTTCCGGGTGACCGGCTTTTTTGGCTACGCCGAGGAGGCCCTTCGGTGAAGGGAGGGGTGACATCCAGGCAGATGAAAGGGGGGGTGGCGTGCAGAGGGAGACATTCCAGAGCTCTTTGAGGAGTGATTTCACTCCTGGCGGCAGCGGCTGGATTATCTTGGGTCATCTAATCTGTCGGGATGACCTGGGTTAGGGGTGGGCCATTCACCAGCCAGCAGGCTTGCAGGATGGGGGCAGGTCTCTGTCCTTTCCAGCGTGACAGGGCTTTGCTCAAACTCTCACCTGCACTATCACTTTACAATGAAAGAGGTTTGCTTTCTTTGCGGCCTTTTTGCAAAGCACACAGTCCAATTGAGTGGGAAGTGAGAACCATTCCAGGGATTCGCTGAATCTGACGCAAAGGCGCTTTTGTGAGTCTAAATCGCCTTGGCCAGGAGGGTAGAGAAAGGGCCCCCCCCCCCCCCCCCATTGCCGAACACCCTCCTGGCAGAAGGGGAGAAATGTCTTCCGCTTTCCAGTTCGAAAGCAAGACATCACAAGTAGATAAATAGGCACCGCTTCAGTGGGAAGGCAACAGCGTTCCGTGCGCCTTGGCGTTTAGTCATGCCGGCTGCATGACCACGGAAAAGTCTTCGGACAGCGCTGGCTCTTCGGCTTGGAAACGGGGATGAGCACCGCACCCCTAGAGTCAGATCTGACTGGCTTTTGAGCAAGAAAAACCTTGACCTTCCAAATGCAACAGAACCAAGTTTGAGTCCGGTGGCACCTTTAAAAAGCACGTGCACGTGGAAGCTTATACCCAGAATAAAACTTGGTTGGTCTTAACGGTGCCCCTGGACTCAGACCTCTCAGGGAAGAGAGGAAGGCCGAGGGGCTGAGAGCTGCATCTCCTCAGCAAAGGGCTGGGGGTGGGGGAGGAGGAAGGTCGTGTTCTGCTGGAGGCCGAGGTGGGGGGGGTGGGAACGGGACAGCCCTAAGACTGTAGATTGGCAGCTGCAGGAGAGCAGAGCTGTGTGGTGCTGAGGGAGAAGCGAAGCCATGCTCCTTTCTGGGCCCTCTTACTACAGGGAGGGGGGGCGCTTTGGACCAGGAAGGGAGGAGCTGATGGGCTTCTGAAACACAAGCTGTCTTGCCCTTGACTTAAGGTGGGCCTGTGTGGGAGGGTCTCGCCCCAAATCCCCATCACCAGAACAGTATTTGTACTGGATTCAAAGCAGCAGAAAAGGTCTTTCCTCTCCAGTCAGGTGAGAGATGTGCCAGTTTGGTGTCGTGCTTAAGTATGCGGACTCTAATCTGGGAGAACCGGGTTTGATTCCCCACTCCTCCAGTTGCAGCTGCTGGATGACCTTGGGCAACCCGTAGTTCTGATAAGAGCTGTTCTTGAAAAAGAGCCGTTTCTGTCAAGAGCTCTCTCGGCCCCGCCCACCTCACAGGGTGCCTGTGGTGGGGAGGGGAAGGGAAAGGAGTTTGTGAGCCGTTCTGAGACTCCTTTGGTTAGTGAAGGGCGGGGTATAAATCCAATCTCTTCCTCTTCTTCTTCCTCTTCTTCTTTTTCGGCAGCCAGTAGTGGTTAAGTGCGCGGGCTCGGGAGAGCCGGGTTTGATTCCCCACTCCTCCAGTTGCAGCTGCTGGATGACCTTGGGCAACCCGTAGTTCTGATAAGAGCTGTTCTTGAAAAAGAGCCGTTTCTGTCAAGAGCTCTCTCAGCCCCACCCAACTCACAGGGTGTCTGCGGTGGGGAGGGGGAGGGAAAGGAGTTTGTTAGCCGCTCTGAGACTCCTTTGGGTAGTGAAGGGCCATGGGGTATAAATCCAATCTCTTCTCCTTCTTATCCTTCGCTGTTTGGGGTTTGCCCTGATGGGCAGCAGTGACCTCTGCTTTCTTGGCTCTCGCCTAGCCCTTCACAGCTGGCATTACGGAGACCCCTTTAGAGGCCTCTGTTGTGTCGGGGGCGCTTTGGAACCCGCCCTGTCCTGATTCCAGAGGCCTGGGTTAGTTTTCTCCCTGGGTAGCCACTGGCCTTCCCGGAGTTAACAGCAAAAGGGAAGTTGCTGTCTCCCCCTGGGTCAGGCACCCACTGGTTCAAAATGCCCTGGACAGATTCCTGTCTGACTCTGCCCCGGAGCCTTCCGAGGGGGCGGGGGAGTCCATGGGGGGGGGGCCTGCAG